ATCTATATCTCAAATCTTCACACAAATAGGAAGCAGTAAAATTTTAAGTAGTCATTTCCTATCTTCCTTTTTTTACAAAGGTCTATTTAGATAAAATATTCTTTGATATTGATTATAGAATAATTTGTAACTATCAAACTTATTGTAGGAAAAAGTTCTCTATGAGTAGCAATCTCTGATATCAATTATAAATGTAGAACATTATGAATATGCATGTGATGCAACATGCATACATGCTTGAGAATTATTACATCCTATGAAATCATTGTGAGGTTGTGTTTGAGAATGCTCATTTGCTTGGGGTGAGATCTATTCAATTGTTGCTAATTTGAAGATTTAGAAAACGAATGCCAAGTAATATGGAGTTTCAAGGACAAGTTAGATAAACTCCCAAAGATTTCTCTTGGGTGGTTGTTAAGGTTGTGAATATTTATTTTAATTTTGTGGTTCATGATTTTTGAAGTTATAGACCCCCATGATTAATTAAATCTTATATTTGATGCCTATGAACACTCAATTATGAACATCAATATAATTTAGATTCGTGGTTAGAGATTAAGTTTATGTATGAGGAAATGGATGGGGATGGGTGTTCATTTCAATCAAGATGTCATAGTTCCATTGTCCTTGGTCAATTTGATGGATTTAGAGTACAACTATGGAGATTCAAAATTTCATGTCATCAAAGGAGTGAATTAATAGTCTTAGTTGTCTCCTATCAAATATCTAGAGTAGATTGGTGTGGCAATATATCAAAGTGTGCATCCCTTCAAAGTGAAGCCTAAAGTGTCTAGGGAAAAAAAGTCTGAGGGAATTAGTATCTAACTGTGGTTCAGAAGCCCAAGGGTATGAGCATTGATGGTTCAATGCTCTAGGCTCTATCAATTCATATCGAAGTAGCACAACACATGGCTGAGTGCAGTCAAAGGTATTAATATGTAACTATATTTTGTTTTATTTCATTGACATAGCTAGTTCAATTGTTTGATGTGGTTGGGTTCATTTGAGGGGAATATACCCTAAGGCATACAAGGGTAGAGTTATATCCTATTGGGCACTATTGTCATGAGCTTGATTCTTGAGCGTCCATCGCTTAGTGCAGAGATTAGCATCCGTGGTAGAGAGTTGATTGTCGTAACCATGGGTTGCCTACTAGTAGGGAGTCCCGAGTTAAACCAAGGTGGCTAACTTCAAAGCATGTTCTTAAACATAGAGTAGAGTAATGATTACTTTGGTGAGTGTAGGGTTCATTAGAAGACAAGCGTCAATGTTTGTTTAAATTGGTCTCTTCAATGATTTTTCAAAAGTCTACAAAGTCTCTTCAGATGATACAATTCAGGGTTGCTAACAAGGATCTTTTGGTCAGTCTTGGTCAACTATCTCCAATAAATAAATTAGGGTCCATGGCAACTTGAGATGATGAAATTATGAATTCTTTGTTAGGTTGTCATCTTCTATCATCCACTTTGTTCAGATTTATCTTTTCCAAAATCAAATTATTACTACTAAAGCTTAACATCATAAAGCCTACCGACTAGCTTTAATCAAAATTGATCTGTTGTGAACGAGATGGGTAATTAATGATAGATGTTTGCTTCTTTGAGGAATCTTAATCAGATCATGGATTTGTCATTATAGGGTAAAATCACTGAATTTTATTTTAGCTAATATTTAATATGTTTTTTTTGAAAATTTAGCTTAAAACAAATCAAATATAAAAATAACTGGGAGGGAACTTATGGTGCCATAGGCTTGATTAGGCAAGGAATCCATTTAGATGAGAGATTATAAGCACAAGGTGACCACAAGGATACTTGTAGAAGTACTCAGATCAGTTAAACTAAAGCAAAAAATTTAACCTATTGTAGTAGAAAGGAATAGAAAAATAAGAGGAAGCTTAACATATAGGAGAAGCATTTAGTTATATTATTAGGTTCTTCGTGGAGAAATAGTTCTTCACCCTGGCATTACAGCTTGTAGAAAGGAAATAATCCTGGCATTTGGGCTTATCACTTAAGAAACTAGTTGCCTGAGTGAATTAGGAATATTTTTATATTTGCAAAGCTTATTCTTGCCATAATGGGAAAGTCACAAGCATGTAACAAAGTAAGCTATAAGATTTATAACGAATCAATATGCTTCTTACATAGGAGGAAAAACATGTTTTGTATAGGGTAAAATTACACCAATGATACATATACAACACGTGAACTACAATGAAGCCATGACACATCTTAAAACCATGACATATAACTACAATATCCAAATTATAAGTCAGTATGAATCAAAGATAGAGAATATGCTGGAACAGGGGATTGGAACCTCTTCACTAAGGAAGTTAGGGAGAGTTGAATTGAAACACTTTCACCAAAAATTCAGATCCATCAAATTAATTATAATATTTGATTACATATCCAAGGCTTTTAAAACCGGACCGGACCGGCTAGCCGGTTATGGTTCAATTGAAAACCGTTTTCACACATAAGCGATGTTAACCCGCTCGAACCGGCGGTTCGACCACCGAACCGGTCTCAATTTTCAATAACTGGCCAGTTCACCTATAGTGGAGATTATCGAGATCCAATGGCTGATATTACGGGAGGCGAAGCTTTGTTTCGTTTTGAGATAAAAAAAATTCTCATTCAGACGTATCACGTGTGTTATGTTCAGCCTTCGACGTTTATTCTTCCCCGACGACGGCGTCTCCTGCTTGTTCGCGAAGCTAACACCGTCTCCTTCCCGCTCGTTTGTGAAGCCAACACTTTCTCCTTCTTGCTCATTCGCAGAGCCAGAAGCCAACACCGTCTGCTGCAGCCCAACTCGTTCGTGACCCAGAAGCTAAGGCCGAACACCGTGTATTGCTCGTTGCCTCGTTCTTGTTTGTTTCTAAAGGATATTTTGTTTTCAAAATTCAGAGATAGAATTGTGAGAAAAAATTATTATATCAAGAAGATATGTGATTGTTTTTAGTTTGATGAAGGAACGATATGCTTATATCCTAAACGAAGCCTAATTTTATTTTTTTAAAGCTTTATAAGTTTCTAAAGCAGTTTGTGCACTGATAAGTATGTATACTTTATCATTTTCAAATATCAAAATACAGAACACAATGTTTTTCTTTTTAAGTAAATTACTCATTTACTCTAATTGCATGCAACTATTTTTCTCAGATATATCTTGTAAAACCCGAAAATATCATTCGTAAACGGTGCATGCATTTCGATACACTGCGACGAAATTAGGTGAATTTTCAAAATTTTTGGAATTCGAAGCGATTAATTTTATAAAATCCTACGCAATATTTCGATCAATTTGATATAAAGAATTTATGATTAATTTTGCACGGTTTTGAAATTAAAAATTTAGAAAATTTACTAAATAACAAATTACTTATTAACCCTTCTAATTTTTCATGAAACAAATGCATGCAAGAGTGATTGTGACATTTGGCTTTTCCCCTTTTTCCCGACCGCCTAAAAGGCTTAGAAGTTTCGGTCCCTTCATTGTCGTTTCGGTTGGCCAAACAAGAGAGGGAGAGGGGGCGGTGGCAAGAGGTCCAAGACGGCGGTTAGGGCGGTTTTCCGGCGGCGATTTTGGGTGGAATCAAAGCGGAAGGCTTAGGGAGGAAGAATATAAGTTCCTAAACAAATTATTTTCTCATTTTTGCTTAGATTTCTTAATAGGAAAATTTTAGGGTTTATACAAAACTTAATATTTTTAAAGAAGAATGTTAGGGAAGATTGATTTTCTAAACCTAAAAATGAAGTTTTTCCTAAATTTTTAGATCTCCAAAAAGATAGGGTTTTTGCAAATTTTTGATTTCTATGAAAATTTCTTAATGTATATTATTTCTAATGGTTTGAGGGAAATTTTTAAGGGTAGGAAGCAGGGTTTTTCATAAAATATTATTTTTTCTAATTTCTAATTAAATTAAATCCAAAAATAGAAAGTCCTAGTTATTTATTTAGATGATTGGGCATATTTGGCATGTTAATATAAAAAGATTAATGAAAAATTGGTTTCCAAATTTAGGGCTTTAGGTTAAATATGAAAATTAAGTTTATTTTAAATTAATTTAGGCATTGGTGAATGTTTAATTTGAGTAAATAATGAATTTATACCTAAATATGAATTTTAAAAAATTTAGGTTTATTTAAATATAAAAATAATAATATTAAAATAGTTAATTGGAGAGAAAGAGAGGGAAAATAATTTATAATTAAGAATTTTCATTATTAAAATAATGATATTTATGTAATGATTTTAATTTTTATAGAATATTATATAGGAGTTAACCTGGTGGCAGATTAGTGACAAATAAGTTATTAAGGCATCTGATTTCAAGGTGAGTACTCATGGTTCTTTCTTTATAGTTTTGATTTTGTTTCTCTCTAGTTAAATGATTTAAAAGTCAAAATATGCTTATGAAATCTTCATTGTTAATTTGATTGTAATTTGTCTCTTATATTCAATGATTGATCATACTAAATTAAAGAAAAAATTTATATTTTATATTTCATGTCATTATCATATAAAATTCATATGTTATAAGAATGAGATGATTTGATATTTATGGTTGCATGTGCATGTTGAAAGATGGAGCTCACCCCCTTATGGTACTAGCTGGGGACGTTGTACCCGTACACTTTAAAAAAGGAAAATAAAATAGTAAAGGAAAAATGAGTATCTTCATTGATACTAATTTTAGATGGCGACTCCTTTGACGGTTGTACTATATATAAAAATGAGAAATATATGAATACATATATGACAAATGCAAATTGAATATAATATGATATGCATTTATGAATTATGCATAACATTATATATTTAAAGATGTGATAAAATATATGATATGATTATATGAAATAAAAATTTAAGTTATGTAATAAAAAGTGACATCAAACATATTTCTTTTATTGCATATAGTTACTGTAGTTTAGAAGCATGTGATACTCGCTAAGTTTTTGCTTACTTTAGTTACTTTTATAATTTTTCAGGTGTAACTTGTTATAATCAAAATTAGAAGAAATAAAAATGTATACTGTAGAGTTATGCAACCAACGAGAGGTATTGACTGTTTTATTTAATTTGTTTCAAATTTGAAGTTTTAGTCGCTCTTTTAATGTACTGGAAATAGATTTAGAAATCAAAATTATGATTTTACCGTCTAATCGTCTGTTCCCGCCTCGTTAATTCGACCGCCGTGGCTGCGTCGTGACATATCTCATTGTAGTAGTATTCTTTAAATCAATTTGGCCTAAGTTGTTTTTTTGCTAAAATTTGAAGAATCAAAATAGTATGAGATATTTAGGTAGATAAACACGCATAAGCAGATTAGGAATATGCATGAAAATTTATTGATTTCTGACCGTGATTTATAAGAAAATTGATTTCTTCACACTTTTTTCTACTTCTTTATTAGTGCCCATTATGCTTCTTAATTGTTGTAATGCATCGCAAATTAACCTTTAATGACAAGTTATAGCCTTACAAGTATTTATATTCTTTCCTCCTTTTTATCAAGTTACTTTTCTCTATAAATAATAATTAATTTTCTCAGTGTATTATACAATTATAATTATATTAATTGAGAAGTTAGATCATGATAAGCACTGGCCTTGAGGAAATTATATTTGAAAAGTCTGTAACAAATGAACTAGGTGGATGAATATGTTTAGAAGCATAAATTTTAATATTCCTGGAACCTTACTAAATTGTGGAAATCATAACAAAACTGCTGTAGTTGATGATTCAGCAAAAAAAAAAAAAAAAAATCTATCCTTGATTTGCTCAGACAAATTCCACTGTCAAGTATGCTTACAACTAAAAAAGAGGGCAAGGGGCTCGCTCATACGAAGCTCATAGTGAAGTAACAACAAGCACAAAAGGAGTTGGATAATACACCATTTCCTGTAGATGATGCTGTACAGGAAGAAAGAGATTCTTCATCGTTGCCTAAAACACAATCCTTTGAAACACATGTATCGGAATTAAGTAAAGGAAAAAAAATATTGCTGACGTGGATTCTTTCTTTGCCGCCAGAAAGAAACCAAGTTCCCAACCTTCAATTAATAGTGCTTTAACATATAAGGAAGCAGTGCACCGTACATATATGACTTTAAAAGGTTATTTTTTGATTGTTGCATCCCATTTAATGCTCTTATTTCAGTATATGCAGAAAGCTATATAAGTCATTGCTTATATGGGTCCTGGTTAGAAGCTCCACACTTATCACAATATGAGAGTAAACCTATTTAGGGATTGTAAGAAGTGCAGACTACTCATTGATAGCTATAGACAAACTTGGAAGGATACAGGTTGTACGCTTATGACAAATGGATGGACTGATAGTAGGAGCAGAACGTTAATTAATTTTTGGATATATTGTCTGCGTGGTGTATTCGTGTATGTTTTTTAAAATCAGTTGATGCTTCAGCTATCACAAAGGATGCTACAAATTTGTGCTTTTTATTTTTTGAGGTTATTGAGTGGTTTGGTCCAGAGATTATAGTTCAAATAGTTACTAGTAATGCTGCTAATTATAAGAAAGCATGTCAGATGTTGCATGAAATATTCAACATCTATTGGTCATTTTGTGCTGCACATTGTATGAATTTAATTTTAAAATATATTGGCAGCATGCCTCATAGAGGACCTGACAAGAAAAGCATCAAAGTTGATAATTTTTTGTTCTATTCATATCTTCATACTTGCATAGCTTAGGAAAAGACCATGTTAGAAGGAGATTGTATGTCCTAGATAACCCGTTTTGTAATAATCTTTATAACTTTTAAAAGTTTCCATGAGCATCATTATGACCTACAAGCACTAATCACAAGCAAGTTCTACACATGTTCGAATATATTCAAAACCTACAAGGGAAAGGAAGTAGCTTCAATTGTTTTGGACTTGAGGTTTTGAGATAATTATCTTATCATATCAAAGATATCGGACCCTTTGATTCGGTTGTTGCGTATTGTTGACTCGGATGAGAAACCGTCGTTTGGATATCTATATGATGGCATGTACAGGACAAAGAAGACAATTAAACCTATGTTTAAAAATGTAAAAAAATCATATAAGCCTTTCACAATTCTAATAAAAAGAAGATGGGATACTCAATCAAAGCAAGACATTCATGCAGCAACATATTTTCTCAATACCCATTTCTAATATGATAGAGAGAATTATTGTCAAAAGCTAAAATTTTACAAGGTCTAGTTGAATTAATTGGAAATAAAGACATTTGTTCTAAAGCCCACAGTTGCAATGAATGAAGTTAGATTATTTCATGATGCCTAAAAAAGCTGTGAAAAACCAATTACATTGACGACGGAGAAAGAAATGCAGCCTCGTAAATTATTTTTTAATGTCAACATGTGTATATAGTTATACAAATATGCGTACTCACTATGCTCTCTAACTTAAGAATATGTAGATGAGTGACAGAAGATGTTTGGATCAAGTGCTCCAATCTACAGAAAGTAGTTAAAGTCAAACATCATCTTCATCAGGATGCGAAAGAAATTCAAGTGTTTTTGAACATATCTGCTCAAGGAGACAGAATTATTTGGAGCATCAACGACTCAACGATCTTGTATATGTTCGATATAATCTAAATTTAAAGATTATGTATAATCTTATAATATATTAATATTTATGTATAAGTGTAAATTTAAAGAGTACCTATTATCTTAACCTAAAGTTATTTCTTCATTTTTTAGTTTTCAACTTAAAAAAAGACAGTATGGTTTTTTGGACTACACTTGTGTTGAAATGGTTGTTTTTTGGATACTTAAAGATGAAACACCTCCATAACTTGATTTGAATGACTTGGAAAATGAGATATACAAAGATGATGTAATGCTAGTTGTTGAAGAATAAAACTTACAGTCCAATTTGCCAGGACATAATAAGTTGATAATGAAATATGAGTATATCATTCAAATGAAAGTAAAAATAATATCTTATTTTATATTTTATATTTGTTTGTGAAGCCGACTTAGAGAATGAAGGAGATGTAGGCAATATAATCGAGTTTTGATCAATCAGATGTATTTGGGTTTGAATGTTTTGGTGACGAGACCCGAAGACTCAACTTATGTGGATAGATTTGATGATGCAAAATTTAGGAGATATTTGATTTTTCTATTGTGAAATTACTGAAACTATTGAACTGAGAAGGTGAAACAAATTTAACTTCAGTTTCATACGATGAATATGTTTTATTTTTGTTATCAGTTGGTATAAAGTGTTAAAATCTTTTTATGATTGGTTGTGTCTTTAAGTGAAATATTATATTATGTTTTTCTTATTTTTTTATGCTTCATATTATAATTATGTTCAATTTTTGTTATATATTTACAAATAATTGTGTCATTATTATAATGTTTCAATATAATTATAATGCTCATTATTATGCTTCATATTATAATTATGTACCTTGGTGCATGCTTTTTGTTGATGATATTCT